GGACCCCCACCCCACAGCACCCACAGACACCAAGCCCTACCTGAGTGCGCTGGCGGGGCTCCTGGACGGGCTGGCAGGGGCCCGGGGAGGCAGGACGGCTCCAGGCGCAGGCTTTGGGGTGCTGCCCCGCTCCGTCCTGCTGTAGCCAACGTCCCCCCAGCCTGGCGGCCGCTTGTCCCCAAGGCTGGTCATGTCAGCACGGCGTGGGGTGCTGGGGCTGGGGGCGTGGGGTGCGGGGCTGGCACTGCTGACGGCGGGTTTTGGTGGGGAGAAGGCCAGGGTGCGGGCGGGGGGCAGGCGGTGAGCTGTGAGAGAAGGCAATGGTGTGAAGTCAGTGGGGAGCACGGCCCTTGCCACCCCTTGTGCTGCACGTGGGTTTTCCAGCAGTTAAAACAAACATTTTCTTGCTCTTTTCTCATTTCAGTCAGATCTGTGCCCTGAGCTGCCCATCCCAACCCACGGGAAAGGAGCCCAAGGAAATATGGGAGTGGTGAAACATGCTGGGGTCAGACCCACAACGGGGGTCACTCACACAGGGAGGAGCAGCGGCATGGGTCGTGCTTGTCCAGGTAATGTTCCAGTGTGTCCCAGCCACCACCAACACGCACCATGACGTGGCTCCTCAGCACCTGGAAAAGCACAGCACCAGTCACAATGCTCCCCACCCCCCCAACCAAAACAAGCAGGTTCTGTTTGCCCACCCCAAACTGAGGGGGTTCAGGAGAAGAGAAGGGAAGGATTAATTTTGTAGGGAATAAACTTAGTGTGAATTTGGATAGGTTAAGGGTTTCCTGCTATGTTTGGGACAAGGGTTGGTTCCACTGCCTGAATCCTTGGGAACTGCAGGGCTGACCCTGGCCATGACCAGTGCTGTTATCTGCGGGGCCGTGCCAGGACACAGCTCACTGTTCCACTTCCCGACGTGATAAATCCTGTCCTGTCCCCACCCTGCAGGGTCAGGCCGGGGCACCGAGCATCGCAGCACCAAACCCCAGCCCCAGCTCAGCCCCACGTTGGGCCCCCAGCACTGTGTTCCCAGGCCCCTCCACCCCCCAGCAGAGAAAGGAGTGGGAGAGGGACGCGACGGCTCTTACTCGAACAAAGATCAGCGCGTTGGAGTCTCCCACTTTGTATTTACCCTCTGAGATTTTGACCATGGGGAACTGGGATGGGCACGTACAGCAGCCCAGGATCTCCCGCACCTGCGGGTAGAGATGAGAGCTCAGTCAGCGGTGCTGCGGTGGGAGCAGAGCCCACAAAGCCTCCCTGGGAGAGGGGCCCTGGGGGCTTCCCACAGCCAGGCAATGGAAAGAGCCATAAAAATGAGTTAAAAAAGCCCTGATATCCTCCCACCCGCCCAGGCATGTACCTGGGATCAGTTTTCACGTGGGTTCCCAAACAAAGTGGGCTAAGGTTGGATTCAGCTCAGTTCATCCACCGCAGCTCCACTCTCCAAAGCCCCCCAGGGACCCCAAATTGTGGACACTGAAGTGCTCCAGGCACCCACTGCATGGCTGGGATCACCTCAGGAAGGAAACCCCCACGGGGTAGTGGCACCACACTGTCACAGGGAAGGGACCACCCACCCACCCACACCCACACACAGTTAAGCACAGAAAAGGGTTAAGTCATTGAGGTGCACAGGGCTGGGAAGCGGCAGCAGCGGGCTGACGTCAGGGATTAGGCAGCGGGGGGATGTGGGGACGCAGCCGCATCCTGCTTTGGCTGGTGGTGTGGCACAGTGTGTGGTGCAGTGTGGGCACAGAGGGGCTCAGGGGGGGTGTGTGGGGACAGGGACCCCCAGGAACAGCCCCTTCTCTCTGGGGTTAAGCTGGGGCTTGGCACTGGCACGAACCCACCCCGAGCAATGGCTGCTGTGACGGTACCCCCAGCACCTGCAACTCAAACTCACTGCCTTCCCCAGCTGAGCATTTCTTTTAGCATTCCCCCCCCCCTTTTTTTTTCCCCTCTTTTCTGTTCATCATTTCAACCAGGACAGATCTGATTGCCCTGAACCCCTCAACTATGGGGAAACTGAGGCATGGAGTGTACAGCCAGTGGGAGCTGTGGGCCCAACCCTGCCACAGTGACAGGGGACACAGGGACATGTGCTGCCAGCCCTGGGGACCTGTCCCCCGATGCAACC